CCTTCTGGCCACACCTCTCCGGATAAAATACATCTCATGGGTGTGATCAGTATAAAGAGAAACTCAAAACTGTGGTGGGAATATGGCTAGCAATAAGATTTTGGGGTTTTTTCAGTTGTAATGATTCCCGGTATTGACGTGACCTGTAAGGTGTTTTAAGTAGTTCAGCCATTTAGCCAACTGAAACCAAATGGAAACATAAAGTATGGCATCAATGTGGGATTCCAGTTTCCAGTTATAAACAAGGCAAAATTCTGTTCTGAATCCTGAATGCAAACATAGACTATTCCACTTGAACCAAACAGGAAAAACTGTCACTGAGTGCCCCTTCTTATGATAAAGATGACCTGTGTGACAATCCCCATTTCCCCCCACAACCCCCTCCCCCAGCTTTTTTTATTCTCCCTCTCTCTCTCCGTATCATTTCCTTAGGGACAAGTTCGGATATATGTCTTGGATTGCACACAGAGAAATAGCTAGATGTCTGATTAGGGGGTTCACACTTGTTGAAGTCCTATTCATTCTGCCGTAACACAAATGAAGCTCTTAATGCATTATAAAACAGAGTATCCAAACCAAGACTGGGTATAGACCTTACTAAAAGAGGCTTACTTAGAAAAATAAATGCCATGTTTGGGTACCTAAATGACACATCTTTTAGAAGAGGAATCACATACAATGGGCCACTTTAAATAATGTTACAGCCCATGTTTCTCTGCTACAACAGAATTAAACCACTTCATATCAGTGAGCATAAATTGCTGCAACGAAGAAGAGAATCTGGAGCGCATTGTTTTAGTTCTGCCTGGTACCAGAATGTAAGGGGGGGCAGGTACCTATGCTTCTGTTTTACAGAGCATGTTTCTGCCATAGAAAACAGTTTAGGATTGCTAATTACTGCTGCAGTTAAAAAACCCATAAGCTTCACTTGAAACTCATTGATTGAAGTGGCAGTTGTAAGGTTTGGTTTTTTTCAGCTAACTATCAATTCTTACAAGTAGCATTTCTTCAGAGATGCTGGATTCTTACTGATCATGGAGATGTCTTGAATTACACTGTATTTACTGACTTTTTTCCTTATTAACTAATGTTGCAATTGAATTTTTGTTTTGTTTTGTATTTCTGATCTGTTTAGCTGAGTTTGGGGATTATGATCCTGATGAACACCCAGAGAATTACATCAGCGACTTTAAGATTTTTCCCAAGCAGACACAAAAGCTCGAGAAGAAAATAGCTGAAATGCATAAAAATGATTTCAGGTAATTTTTAATGCCATTTGGTACAGAGACATCTAAGAAAAACGTTTTATCTGTTTGCAAACAGCATGTGTTAAGCTAGGAGGGTTTGTTCCTTGAGTTATAATATTTCTGCTGTCTAATATGCTTTATTTGAAAATGGGGTTTCAGCTTAGTGAGTTTTCTTTTCCTGTTAACCTTCATTAATCACAGCTGATTCCTGCATGTGTGCCAGTAATTTAGACTGCATTTTCTTGAAATGTAGGTCTGTTTAGTGGGAGCGGCTCACATCATGAGCGCCGCTGTGCTTGATGGGTGGAATAACAACTTTCATTTAGGGCTCACACTTATGTCTTTTGCTGTTAAATTTCTGTTTGTAGTGCAATTATAAAGTTCTTCATAGATACTTACTGGACTGAAATGGTAAACAAGTTATTTTATCTGTAGGTTGTTAACATAGTGGTGAAGTGCACAGAAATGCATTTAAATAACTTCTTTGGAAAACTAAGGAGGTGAGATTCAGAACTCGTCATGCTCTTTTTCTGTCCTAAACTTTTAATGGTGTGGCAAAGGGGAACGAGGAATGATTAATCCATCTTTTGGTTTCAAAAGTTGAGTGTGTCCCTGTTTCAGAAGAGTGGCAGCAGTGCGTTGTGCAACTGTTCCCTCTTCAGGATTGTCCGCGAACGACACGCACAATCCTGATGGTAGCTTCCTTGGTCGTTTCACTTGGCTGGCGAGAGTCTTCGGAAAACTTGGGGAGGATGTGAAGAAAATCAGATGAAAGCAAACTATTAATTACATATGGTAGAAAGACAATTTTTACTCAGAGATTACAAGGTTTCTTGCACTTGCCTAAACCCCCTATGTTTTGTTTTCATGTTGTGAGACATGTAAATGCTTTGTTCAAGTATAGGAACAATATTTATACAAAAATTAGGTTGTGAGACACCAAATTTCGGGGGGGGGGGGAGGAGAAAACAAAAAATTCCTTTTCAGAGAAGTTAAAACTTAAAACACTTTTAAACACTCTTTTTTCTTTTTTTTTCCTTTTTTTTTTTTTTTTAATGGGGAAGCCTGTCAAATATGTTGTTCAAAGTGCAACGTTCATGACAGTAACTTTTCAGTGTTAATGTCTTCTTTTTTTCCCTCTCCTGAAATCTATACGCTTTGTTTACATTCCTTTCAGTGAAACAAAGTTTTAAATGGCACAACTACATTTAATAATAATTTAATATACTTTGTGTATTCTAGTTTAAATTAAATTCAGATGGAAAAACCTAACCACTCAGCTCATATTTACAAAGTTAAACACTACTACTCTTACTATATGCAGATCTGCAGTGCAATTCAGTTTTCCTGTTAAGTGTACATTATCTACTAATCTTCATTTATATTGTTGCACACAATTTTTTTCATGTGGCCTGCCTCTTCACTTCATGGGCTTATATATACTCAGCACGTGAGGATGTCCCCCGAATTTCTTCAGTAGCCTTGGTGAGGGACACTATTCATTATTGCCTTTTCGAAACCAGATGGTATCAACCTGACTTCTTTTGCCTGTGGATCTGTTGATTCCTGCAAAGATTTCCAGGAGGTGTTTGACATGTAACTATAATTTATAGCAGAACTCTCCTCATATATCCCACATATGAATATGTTCTTTAATTCTCTTTCTATTCTAGATTTTGCCAATTTGTACGTTATGGATGTTAGGCTCGGTGGCTTATTGCTCCTTGCAGCCCTGAGGAACTGTTTTCTTTCTTCTCTGTTTTCTTTCTCTTATGTCAGCATCTGGTGCATTTTACCTATTTGTCTGGTTATAAGGACGATTTCAGAGACGTCTGGATAGCTACTGTCCAGTGATTTTCCACTGTAGCTCTGTCTTCACAAAATTGATCATCCTATTACATTTTTAACATCAGACATTCACGAGTCACACAGAAATGTTACATTTGTCCAGATATTTAATTCCATGGATCTCTATTCTAGGAGTACAAATTAATAAAACATATCTGTCATATAATGAAATATATATAGAGAGGTCCAGTGCTAGACAATCAGATTTCCTTATCTAGCTGGAAAAAGATGATTTGAAAAAATACAGGCTTCTGTCTGGTATTGATCAGCACATCTGTTTCACTGCATTCAGCAAGAATTTTCTGATAAGAATTAATACTTTGCTGCCCAATGAGTAAGTGCTGTAAAAGGTTCCCCTGGCCTTTTTTTACCTGAGTGACATTTGAGCTGAGAGCTAACATGTGAGGGGAGCAGAAGAGACTGAGAGCCATTTTAATCCAGCTACCATGCCGCTACCTGCAGAAGAGTTACTTCTGAGTTTCAGCACTACAAGTGAGTGTGGTTCTTCGTTTTTTTCACACATGTAAATAAACAAAGACCATGGCATCTCTCTCCTGCAGCATGCTCCCATACAACCAAAGCCCTGTGGCTTGGGAGGGGCCAGTTCTCCACTGAATCCTGTCTTGGCATCCTCGAGGCCTGTTCGCTGGGCACAGGTTTTCTTCTGTCCTACAGCATGATGGAAGAAATGGCCTTATGGAAGGTGCATGAAGACAGTGAGGGGAATGTCTTGGAAGCAGCAGGGTACAGCTGACAGTGACAGTGACTCATTTGTGCCATTTAAGAGCCTTGTTATTATTAATTAAAACAGATGTATAACATGGTGTCCCTACTTCTTACCCTGTGTGGCTGTGAGAATGTCACTGGATTTTAGCAAAATGTGACTTTTCATGTGACTTTCCAGTGCACCTAATTGCAAAAACACAGATGTGACAGACAGAAATGCATGCCAGCTTTGTTGCGCTGTGATTAGTTGTCTTGTGAATTTTAATTAATTGTTCTTCCATCGTTGAAAAGGGAGAGGTATAGGAATAATTTCACTGAACCTTACCAGTGGTGGGGTAAACACCTGCCTGTTTTCATCACAACACATACTCCCATTTTCCTGTCATTCTAAGTAAGTCCCCTTTGAAACACAGCATACTGCTCCAGGCAAATGCCCTTAAAACTTAAAATCTTAGAATCTGTGAAGATGCTGTAGGAACTGATGAGCCTTGGATGCTTGTTCTTAAAAGAATTCAAAATTAATTTGAATGTTACATTTTTGGTTGTGATTACAACAGAGCGTAGCTACTGAAGCAATAGCTACTTGTGTTTCTGTTTCCCTGCCACTCTTAACAGGTTGGAAAAGATTTGGACCATACATATTCTATGAGAGTATTCTGGAACACTTAACCTACCCAGGTTGTTCATTTGAATATCCCTTATCCCTTTCAGTGTAGATGTGTGCAAGTAAGGTGGCATTGTAAATCACACCAGTTAAATGATCCAGTTTAAAAAAACCTTATTTTCCTTTATTTGACTTCCTCACAAAGTTACCTGGAACCACATGTTCAGTTCTCACCTATTTTGACAATATTAAAGATATTTAATACACTGCACTGTGCTCAGTGTATAAAGCCATAGTTCATTTTTATTTCTGGTGACCAGAAGGCCCCATCTTAACAAAAATATTGTGAAGAATTCTGTATAGTTTTGAGGAAAACTAAACCAAAACTGAACCATCAAAGGACGTTAAGCAGAATCTTGAAATCATCTAGGTAGAGGAGAGGAAAGCTGAGTGAAAGGTTAATTCTTCACGCATAACAGCAGGGATTACTAGTATTACTGGGTTTTTATGCAAAAGATCACTCAGGTGATTTTAATAATCCCTTTGGGATTTGAGGTTTTGCTATGGCTATTATTAACACATCAAGAGTTTGCTCCTTTCACATGTTCCCAACACAGTTGTACTTTTTCCATGGCAGAATTAGTACTGTTTGTTTGTTTGGGCAACCTGCATTAGTATATGGCCCGGTTTTGCTTCTAGCTATTGCTCTTGGATTTTGTGGGCTCCATTTATGAAAGAATGGACTCTGTATGTACATACACACCTGTGTCAGTACTAATTCCAAATCAGCTTCTGGGTTGTTACAACTATGTGATTTAAGACAGCCAAATAAAACATTAGATTGTTCTAGTGTAGTCACATTCCTTTGTCCCTTTTCCAAGACAAAAATTACTTCCCATGAATTTTTATCAAATCTTATGTCCTGTAACAGAACACTTGTTGCTCTGATAAAATTCCCTAGCTTTTAAAAGATACCTGTCATCCAGAGCTCCCTGAGGCCAGACATATGAAGATACATAGACTTCCGAGGAGAAGACCCACATGAATCCCTATTAAGGGAGTTTATATTTGTAGGAGTCATGGATTTTTCCCTTTTTTTCTTTTTTTGAAAGAACTCAGTAGTCAAAAATAAAGATTTTTTTTTTGTATCCCGCCTGAAAACTGAAGATCCATTTTTACTTATTTCTGATATGAAATACTATCTATATGAAAGTGTTACGTAAACAGCCACTAACTTATCTGAAATCCCTAACAAAAATTAACTTTTACCAGTAAATAACAGAATTACGGGACCTGTTCAAATGCCTGTTTTGCAGGTTGACCTGACCTCATATGGGTAAATGCCAGTTACTTATTATTGCTTGGGGTGGCTGGTGTGGATACAGGCTCAGGAACGTTGAGTGCTACTGAATTGGCTCTCGACTCCATTGTGTGTATCAAATACTCCAGCTTTTGCAAAACTCGTGTGTGGGAGAACACCTTTTGGGAGGAGAAAATGTTTCCTCTGAGGGTGTGAAATCACTGCCAAGTCCTGCTATTAACTATCTCAAAGGCAATTTAAATTTTTAAGATAAAGATTTTCTCAAAAACCAGCATATCAAGTGAATACTTGTCTTTGATCCAAACGAATTGAGGAGTGGTTTTTATATTTGATTTGAAAGACATATAACATTTTTACCCTTTGTTGCATCCTCTACACTGTAACTACTCAGTGAGGATTTAAACATTTTTAAATTTCCTGAGCTGCTGTAAATGTCACTGTATTCCCTTCACCATACCATCAGTTACCACGGGTGCTCAGACTCTGGTGCCAGCAGGAGTACAGGATTTCTCA